CTATTCCCCTGTAGTTTGAGGGATTTAATTTAGATCCTGCTTTATGTATGGATATTATTAAACTTGTACTCCATGCATGTGGGAAGATGTAGTGTACCATTTTTCTAATCATGGAAGGTACTAACGTTACAAATACAAAAAGATTGTGATAGTTCATCAGTTCTTCTCCAATCAATTTTATGTCTGCTAATTTTTCATTAAAGTTCGCCAAGATCTCCGGAAACAACAGCATTCAAACTAGACGCCATTTTCAGCATTTTACATGCGAGGTTCGTCTATCGCTTCCGAACATGCTCCGAATATCACCGAATATCACCGAATGCTCGAGACTAGCGTAACCCATTGCACGAAGGTGTTAAGAGCTAACAGAACCAATGTTTGTGAACAAACATTGACAAACGATCATGGGGCAAAGCTAAAACAATAGCGTTGTGGCTCCTTCCGTTAGTACCTTCCGTGTTCTAATCAACGTGATTAGTATCCAGCAAATGTAGCATTAAATCTGCTGTTTTCAATTGAATTTATTTGTAACATTTTCTTGCTTAGTTAGAGTTAAAGTTATTTATATAATCACTGGGACTAATATAATGCGACGTACCTAACATAGGACGATTTTTGTTATAATCAGTGGGACTAATATAATGCGACGTACCGTAACATGGAACGATTTATTTATTATCAGTGGGACTGATATAACGCAACGTACTGTAACATGGGGTGATTATTTTATTATCAGTGGGACTGATATAATGCGACGTACCGTAACATGGGGTGATTTTTTTCATTATCAGTGGGACTGATATAATGCGACGTATTCAAGTTGTTAACACCTTCCTTTAGCCGTGAATTTTCTTTCTTCTTGTTTGTAATTTTGCGTATAAAGTGCGAAAAGTCGTGCATTTAACATGGCGACAAAGTGAGGCATCTTGCTACATTGTTACGTTCCGACTTCTGTTCTTAATTTATTCACGTAATTCCCCATGGAAACACATTTAAACGAACAACAAAAATGCGGATAGACCAATAAAACTATTTTGTCTGCCTACATAAACTGCTACATAATTCATTACGTGACAAACCACAAATGTGTATTCGAACCCTGACTGAAACGGATTGTATTAGATGTGTATTCAAGTTATCTGTCTGTGGGCCACACACGTCCACGTGCATACAGTGCACAAAGGCGGCGGCGAGTAAATGAAAAACATCTGTTGCATTGTGTAAAATATGGCGTGAAACCGTAAAAATTCCCTGCAAAAGACGAAAAATAAGTTGATAAACAAGATAGTCAATCATTCGTTGTGCATTTAACATATTAACATTAGATATGAACACGTATCGAATATAATTTATACCAGGGCCGGATCGACCAAACTGTTTTGGTGCCGGAACGTCCAAACCAGGGCCAGAACGTCTTCTTTTTTTTTACCAGGGCCGCAACCGAACAGGGCCGGATCATCATTTTTAAAGGGCGACAGTCGTCGTGCCGCGTCCTGTTCGATATGGGACGTGTGTAAAATATATTGTTTATTTACATGAAATTCGAACACGCGCTGCGCGACGACCACCGCGCTTTAACTATCTGGGACTAGTCATTAGTACCAATGGTAAATTAAAAACTTGACCTTAAAAACCTCAAAAAGCTCTGTTTTCAATGAAAGCAAAGCTTGGCTCAATTCAAAACTTAAGTATAAAAGTATCAATTTTCATTTTTGACAAACTTATCAGACTTATCCTCGTTTATGGTTGTGATGTTTGGGGTGATGAGTTATCCACTAAATCACCTATCGAGGACGTTCAATTAAAGGACGGCAGTCGTCGTGCCGCGTTCTCTTCGATATGGGACTCATAGCGACGTATACAACGCGTGTAAAATACATTGTTTATTTACATCACCGCGCTTTAAGTTATTGTGGGTATTTACTAGGTGTGTCACAACGTACACAAATTTTTGCCATGTGCAGCGAGTTAGGCAGATACCCCCTAGATGTATTTATAAAAAAAAATTAAATATTACAGTTGGGCCATGAATTCTAATAATGTGGTACTCAAGGAAGTTTTTGTGGTTAACCGAAATGTTAAAAATAAACGGAATCTAGAAGTAACATCGTTATTAAACAATATTCAACAATATCATTCAGTTAACAACTGTGATAAATTAACCTCGGCACAAATGAAACAAATTGATTTGGGCATCAAGGATTTATTCCTAACAAGATGGAAAGGTGAGGTCTATAATGATAACCGCACCAAAGCAAATGAGAAAAACAAACTGAGAACATATCGGCTAATCAAATCAGATTTATACCTTGAGCCATATTTAGTCAAACTAAATAACTTTGAACTGCGTAGTATGCTTGGTGGTCATAAAAAAAAATCCCCTTAAACAACAGGGTTTGTGACATGTGTAACAAAGGTCTAATTGAGGATGAAATGCATTTTCTGGTGGAATGCAACAAATACATGTATAATGAGTTGCGTATCAAACTGTAAAGCTAAGGATATGATCCCAGCATTTGAAAATAAACTTGCAGAAAAAAAATTCATGGAATTGTTACAGAATGAAAACATTATTATACCAGTGGCACAGTTCATGAGTGAAAGCTTTGAAGTCATAAAGCAGGGTATTAATTGACATTTTAATGCCTGCTGTCATTTTAATCTCATATTATTTAGTATTTTAGTGATTTTGTATTATTTAGTAATTTATTGATTGTATTTTGTTATTTAGTATATTGTTTTTACATGTTTTTCTTGTACTTTGTGACCATTTGCACCCCCGGGATTGTGTAAGAGTATACAGCCATTTGGTTATTGTAATAATAATAATAATAATAATAATAATAATAATAATAATAATAATAATAATAATAATAATAATAATAATAATAATAATAATAATAATAATAATAATAATAATAATCAAGTTTTATTGCATCCTTAGAAATTACAATATTTCTTTTGGTAAAAAAGCAATAAATATATCCATACACAACACAATTACAATACAATACAATATAAATAGATACGTTAACGTTTTCTGTACTCCATGGCTTTAAGTAGATAGGTCCCCATACATTT